CGACGCCGCCGCCGATCGAGGTTCGAGGGGGGACGGGAGGAGGAGGAGGAGGAGGAGGAGGAGGAGGAGGAGGAGGAGGAGGAGGAGGACGAGGAGGACCAGGAGGACCAGGAGGAGGAGGAGGAGGAGGAAGAACAGGAACAGGAGGCGGAGGAGGAGGAGGAGGAGGAAGAAGAACGGAGGAGGAAGAGGAGGAGGAGGCGGAGAGGAGGAGGCGGAGGAGGAGGAGGAGGAGGAGGGGGAGGAGGAGGGAGGGGGGGGGGGGAGGAGGAGGAGGAGAGTGAGGAGGAGGAGGAAGGAGGAGAGGCGAGGGGAGGAGCGCGGGGGACGGGGAGGAGGAGGAGGAGGAGGAGGAGGAGGAGGAGGAGGAGGAGCAACAGTAGGAGGAGGAGGGGAGGGAGGAGGAGGAGGAGGAAGAAGAGGAGGAGGAGGAGGAGGAGGAGGAGGAGGAGGAGGTGCATGCGCCTTATTCAGGCCCTGGAGGGTTTGTGCCTCGGGGCCCCGCGGGATCAGCAGCCGGCCTTTGGTAGAGGGGGCGACCCTCAGTGCGAGGCAACCACCCACCTTCGCCTTTCCAGCATCGGCTTCACCCCGCACGCCAGCAGTGGCGGGTCCTCTGGCGCCGTCTGCTCCGATCGCAGCAGCAGCCGTGAGTGGACTACCGCCAAGGGAGGGCAACGAACGGCAGGTGGTGGATTCGTGCTTGCTGAACGGGTGATCCTCGAGTGCGCTTAGCTGCGAGAAGCCAGGCATCCGTGTGCTGTGAGAATCAAAGAGCTGGCATGGCGAGAATCAAAGAGAGGCGTTTCGGGGCGGAGGTCCTGCCGCGCGCCCCCCGCTCCGGGCCCGCCGGCGGGCGGGCGGGGCACGTCTTGTCTCTGCCTTGGCCAGGGGCCCTCCAGGGCGCCATGCAAGTCATCCTGGACTACACCCTTTCTGGGGGGACCTTCAGGAGCCCAAGCAGGGAGACGCCGTTTTTCAGCTCGTGGTCATCGTTCACTTTTCGAGCAAGAAGCGATCGGGCAGCAAGAAGCTGCCTTCCAGTCGCAGCTTGAAGAGTCACTCGCTCGCTGTGGAGGGGGGCCGGGCATCACATCACCAAGGTCCCAGGGCCAGCGCCAGGGGAGGAGTTCGACGTCTTCACAGATGACGATGGCACCACCACCTCGGAGCCACACACAAGTGATAGGTCACAAATGCAAGTTTTGGATGAGGTACTCGGACCCAGGGGGGAACCACTTGGAGGAGCCCCCCGAGGCCCACTGTATTCAGAATATCAGGAAACAGGCTCAGGAGTTCTGGGATCAAGATGGCGAGTTCGGTCCACATCAGGTCAAGTTAGCGCCCAGGAGCTGACCAGTGGAAGACCGCAGAACCAGGATTCGAAATCATAAATCGTACGATCAATGATATCTGCCGGCTGCCGCAGTATCCTACGCAGTGTCTGGAGTATCTGGTAGCCCTCAAAGTCAAGACGGAGGCTAGCGACCGCCCCATCACCCTCAACTGTGCCCCCATACAGGATCACCATGAGACTCGTCAAGGGCCAATCTTCGGAGGGGAGGATGCTAGGGCAGGGTCCTGGAAACCAGCAATCAGAGGCGGCGATTGCTTACAGGCCGCGCTCATCAGCGAGGTCTTCGCTGAGATCAGCGCCACCCTGTCTGCCACCATCATCGAAGGGGTGCTCGATCTAGAGAAGTGTTCCGATTCCATGGACATCCAGAAGTTGACCCAGCTGGCCTTTCCCAGGGATGCATGGTGGTCCTGCTTTCCTTTGGGGTCCTGGCCTGCAGCGCTGCGCGGGTCCTCACCACGCCCATCGGGGTCGGTGACCCCCTCATTCCCAGGAGGTATAGACCCCATGGTTAAGTCGGGCGTGTCCCTCTGCAGGAGGAATATTCAAAAATCGGAGTGAGGGGGCTGAACCGAACGGTCACTCACTGTCCCTGGGTGCGTGGTTGAAGTGGAATTCCGCGATGTGGATAATTGTTGTTGCTGTTGCTGTCGTTGTTGCTGTTGTTGTTGTAATTGTTGTTGGTGGTGTATTTGTTGTTGTTGATGATGCTGTTGTTGTTGCTGCTGCTGCTGTTGTTGGTGTTGGTGTTGTTTTGGTTGTTGATGATTGTTGTTTGTTGATTGTTGTTTGTTATTTGTTGTCGTCGTCCCACCCGCGACCCGCCCCGCGACCCACCCGCGACCAACCCCGCGACCCACCCGCGCGACCCACCCCGCAACCAGCGACCCACCCGCGACCCACCCGCGACCCACCCCGCGACCCCCTCGGCGACCCACCCGCGACCCACCGGCGACCCACCCGCGACCCACCCGCGACCCACCCCGCGACCCACCCGTGACCAACCCCGCGACCAACCCCGCGACCCACCCCGCGACCCACCCGCGACCCAAACCGCGCCCGCGACCCACCCGCGACCCACCGCGACCCACCCGCGACCCACCCGCGACCCACCCAAACTTTTCGGCGCCTGCGGCGGGCTTCTTTTGCTGCGACCCAAACCGCGTTCAGTGTACCAATCAAAATGTTCGGCGCCTGCGGCGGGCTGTTTTTGAATAGATTCCAGGTGGAGGTGGAGAGCCCGCGACCCACCCGCGACCCATACTACGTTCACTGAACAAGTCAAAACTTCGGCGCCTGCGGCGGGTTTCTTTTGCATTCGTTCCAGGTGGAGGACCTGCGACCCAAACCGCGTTCAGTGTACAAATCAAAATTTTCGGCGCCTGCGGCGGGCTGTTTTTGAATAGATTCCAGGTGGAGGTGGAGAGCCCGCGACCCATCCACGACTCAAACTACGTTCACTGAACAAGCCAAAAATTCGGCGCCTGCGGCGGGCTGTTTGTGCATTCTTTCCGGGTGGCCCACCAGCAATCCCCCCCGCGCTGAACTTGTCAGAGCACGACGACGAGGACGAGGACGCGGACGAGGAAGAGGAGGAGGAGCCGGAGGAGGAGGAGGAGGAGGCGGGCGCAATCGACAGGGAAGGTGAGGGCCACGAGGTCCGCCGGCTCGACGCCCACGTCGCCCGCGCCCGCCTCCTCACTCTTATCCGCAATTGCAGGGTGCTGCGTGTTAAAAAAAGTCTGGGGACGATGTTGTGATCATTTTTGACTATGTTGGGGTATTTTCGACTATTTTTCACATTTCGCCCAAAATCCCCTCTGTAGGGGGACACGCCCGACTTCACCCTATGGTTGTGGACAAACTGCCCCCTGGACGAAGGCCCGCCTCTACGAGGTCCTCGACAAGGCACGCCAACCGCCAGACGGGTCTGCCATCAGGACGTGGGCCTGCGACATCAGAGTCCGCTTTGTGGCAGCCCAGACATGCTCAATCAGGCTCTCCCCCAGCGCATCATCCAGCTACGCCACGGACTAGCTGAGCTAGGCTGCCACTTCTCGCCCAAGGCAATCATACACGCCAGCAACATCGACTTCAGCACCTCGGTCGCAAACACCCCCCAGGACCGAGGGATCTGCTTCTGCCTCTCAGGCGCACCAGGGGCCCCGGGATGGACGCCACAGTGGGCCGCCGTCGCATCCTCCAAGTGCGGCGTGAACGACGGGCCCCGGGGCCCATTCGGGCCAGGAGCACCAGGGAGCTGGCCAGGACCATGGTCAAAAACACGGGCCCTGGAGGAGGAGGAGGAGGAGGAGGAGGAGGAGGAGGAGGAGGAGGAGGAGGAGGAGGAACAGGAGGAGGAGGAACATGAGGAGGCCGCCAGACTGCAGCAGCTCCTGGGGCATCCAATCCAGGAGCGCTGCCCCGCCATGGGGCCCAATGCTCTCGAGGCTGCAGTCGCAGAAAGTTGCAGAAATTAGGGCCGCACCCATCCCAGGCGTGGTGCAAGCCAATCCATCAAGAGCTCGGGCTTCTGGAGATCGAAGCAGGAAAAAACCATAAGCATAAACTTTTGGCGCTCCGCGCGGATTCCTTGGATCCGCGCTGGGCCCCCCCTAAACTTTTGGCGCTCCGCGCGGATTTCTTGGATCCGCGCTGGGCCCCCCCGGGCGGCGCCTCTGGCGGAGCCCCCGGCGTGCTCCGCGCGCCAGGGAGGGGGGTCCGGCGCGGATCCAAGAAGACCGCGCGGAGCGCCAAATGTTTATGTTTATGACGTTTTTCTTCTTCGATAGAAAGGATCCAACAAGCATGGGCCCGTCGGCGAGATGAGCTCCGGTCACCCGGCAGGTGGCCAGCAGTCAGGTCGCACCTCTCGGCCGTCCCCGCCACGCCCTTCTCGATAGGCTGCCATGAGGGGGCCAGAAGCGACAGAAACCTGCCGAACAAACGCTATCTTTTGGTCGGGCATGTCCCCCTACAGGCGGATTAAAAGACAGCCAAAACATCTGCAACAATGATTAGAAATTTGTAGAAATATCGTCCCCGATTATTTTGCAACTATGTTTGGATATTCCTCCTGCAGGGGGACGTGCCCGACTTCAAGCTAGATCCCCGAACGCTGGTCTTCGGCCCTCCCCCAACCGAGACGCCCTGGGGGCCACCAGCCAGCTCCCGCACGCCCGGCCTCCCCCCCCCCCCCCTTACTCGATCCCTCGGCCCCGGGATTCCTCGATCCACCCCCTTCCCCGAGCAACCGACATCGATGTTCGATCACCCTTCCTGCTCCATCCTCTCCTGATCTCTCTCCCCCTGAGGTCCGGCGTCGAGGAGACGTTCCACATCGTGAACAATCGCGACCAGAGCCCTGGGCACACTCTTCTGGCTGCAGCGTTCGAACTGAATCGGATCAGGATGACCCCCAGGCCAGAAAACCGCCCAAATCCGGGCGAGAACGCCCACTGTGGAGAAAATGCAACGCGCACCAGATGCGGAGGAGGAGGAGGAGGGCGGAGGAGGGAGGAGGAGGGAGGAGGAGGAAGAGGGCGGAGGAGGAAGAGGGCGGAGGAGGAGGAGGAGGAGGAGCAGGAGAAGGAGGAGAGAAGGAGGAGGAGGAGGGCGGAGGAGGAGGAGGAGGAGATATCAGGGCTTCCTGGAGGCGCACCCGGGGCCGCCGCCGGCCGCCCCAGCCCAGGCCCGGTGCCCTCGGCTCGCGCGGCCCGGGCGACGCTGGCGCCAGTGGATCCGCCGCCGCGGCGGCCGGCGCCGCGGGACGCGCGCGTCGTCGGCGTCGCCGCCGCTGCCGCCCTCGCAGCCCTCGTCTTCGTCGTCGTCGTCGTCGATCGAGTACCCTTCCTCTCCGCGGTACATCCTCCCCCGCGGTGCCTTCCTCTCCGCGGCACCTCCCTCTCCGCCGTACCTTTCTCTCCGCGGTACCTCTCCGCGGTGCATCTCAGCGTCTCGTCGTCGGATCGAGTGCTCCCTCTCCGCGGTACCCGTCGCGAGCTGTTCGTCCTCCTCTCTCGCGGTACCCGTCCTCCTTGTCGAAGTTGATATTTCAGAGTGCGGCGGCACGAGGTCCGTCGAGGCTCGCGCACCCCCTTGGGATATTGTGGTACGGGGTCTGTCGCGCACATTGTGGCGCCAAACGAGGCCGTGGAATGCTCCCGCTCCTGCTCGTCTTTCTCCTCCTCGTCCGCCTCCGCCTCCTCCTCCTCGTCCCCTTCCTCCTCCTCGTCTCCTTCCTCCTCCTCCTCCTCCTCCTCCTCCTCCTCCTCCTCTCCTCCTGCTCCTCTGCTCCTCCTCCTCCTCCTTTCTCCTGCCTCCCCTCCTTACCTCCTCCTGCTCCTCCTCATCCTCATCCTCATCCTCCTCCTCCTCCTCTTCCTCCTCCCCTCCTCCTCCTCCTCCTCCTCCTCCTCCTCATCATCATCATCATCAGCAGCATCAGCATCATCATCATCGGTAGCATCAGCATCCTCATCCTCATCTTCCTCATCCTCATCCTGATATTCGTACTCGAACGGTACGTTTTTCTGTCCTGATGTTCTCACCCCGTCAGTGCCTTTGTTGTCCCTCGTCCGTTGCCGCCTCCAGCCGGATCCGTGCCCCGTGCTCGTTGTTAGACCGTTGATTCGTTGTTCACTTACATTCCGCTGTTACTGAAACGCCCCCCCCCCATCGATCGCCCCCTCTTGAAGTCACGCCCGAGGGGAGGGCGTCTGCGAAACCCCAGGTCCTGCCTTCAGAAGGCACACGAAGAAGAAATGTATGCATCAGCATCCGCCTTCCGCACTCCGCGCGGGCCTCCGCGAGCGTTTACAGTCAGGTCGCATATCAAGGAGGAGCAACTGTCCAATGCTGCCCTTGCATCCTTGCCCCTTCGGCCCATCCTTGGCGACTTTCGCTGGACGCACCCCGCTCGGACATCGTCAGCATCGCCTCCCAAGGCCCTTCCTTGCTTGAAGTCCTGTTCTGTCCCTGGCTGCTCTGCCCTGGCTGCTCTGTCCCTGGAGGCTTCCATCTGCTGTTCTGGCCCTGGCCATCCTTCCAACGGGGCTTCCGAGGAGCCCCCGTGGAGTCTCGGGAAGGCCGCCCCCCCCCCCCCTGGCGGCGCCACCCCCCGGACGCCCGCCGCCCGGCAAGACGTGCGAGGGGGAATTTCCGGCTGAAGGGAGGACGAGGAGGAGGAGCAGGAGGAGGAGGAGGAGGAGGACGAGGAGGAGGAGGACGAGGAGGAGGACGAGGAGGAGGAGGAGGAGGAGGAGGAGGAGGACGAGGAGGAGGACGAGGAGGAAGAGGAGGAGGAGGAGGAGGAGGAGGAGGAGGAGGAGCGTGGGCACGGCGAGCGTGTCTGCGTGCAGTGTGCCAGGCGAGGGCTGCTGCCCGCTCCTCGTCTCGCGCGCTGCTCTCGCTTGTCGCTCTTGTGCTTTGAGCCCTCCCCTCTCCTCTCGGGGGAGCGTAAGACCCGGGTTTGCCAGGACTCGGGTTCGCCATCGTTTTTTGACGACCGCGCCTCGGATTTTGACGAGGAGGAGTTTCGTGGGATGTCTGCAGCGGGAGGCCTCGTCAAAATGTAGGTTCGGCCTCGTCATTTTTTTGACGACCTCGTCGGGGATTTCCGAGTCCCCTGTACCCAGGTCTTACGTCCCCCTGATCCTCGGAGGAGGAAAAGGTACCCATACCTCTACCCCCTGGCCCGTTTTCCCCTTTTTGGGCCTCGTCGGAGGCCCTCGTCGCCACCGCTGGATTCGCCTCGAAGTCCTGGTCCGAACGCACCCCGGGAGAGGTCCGGGGAGTAGCGATATCGGTACCTTTTGGTGTCCCTATCTCCTCTCTTCCTCGTCATCAAGGTTGGTTCGGATAGCACCCATTCTTTCTCCCGGTCTTCGCTCTTCCCCCTCTTCCTCCTTCAACCCCGCGCACAGGCGCGCGGGGAAGGGGGAGGAGGGGGGAAGAGAGAGGAGGCACAGGAGGAGAGCGAAAGAGACAGAAGAAGAAGGATGAGGAAAGAGGCGGGAGGAGGGAGGAGGGAGGAAGGAGGGAGGAGAGCGGCGCGAGGGAGGAGGAGGACGGGGCGGCATGAGAAGGAAGGAGGAAGAGGAAAAGGAGAAGGAGGAAGAGGAGGAGGAGGAGGAGGAGGAGGAGGAGGAAGAGGAGAATAAGTGGCCAGGGCGCCAGTGGGTGCACGAAGATACATCGCGCCTCCCCCGTCGAGACCCAGGCGGGAGAGCTGCCCTCCTCGAGGGCCATGAAGTTGCCCTCCAGGGGGCAGCGCGAGGACGCGAGGGCGCGCAGAGAAACGCCCGTCGCGTACCAAGGGGCGCGATGCGCGAGGTTGGGTGACCTAGATAGACGGAGCAGGAGGTAGGAGGGAGAGAAAAGAGGAGAAGGAGGGCCTCCCTTCTTCAGCATCCCTCCCCCCCCCCTCCTCGCCGTCCTTCCCGCGGACGCGCGGGCGCAGTGGGGAGGAAGAGCAAGGAGAGGAGGAAACAGGGAGGAGGGGGCGGAAAGAGGAGGGATGGAGGAGGAGAAAGAATGGATGCCATGTTTCTGCCTTTCCTCCTCCTCCTCCTCCTCCTCCTCCTCCTCCTCATCCTCCTCCCCTCCTCCTCCTCCTCCTCCTCCTCCCTTACCTTCCTTCTCCTCCTCCTCCTCCTCCTCCTCCTCCTCCTCCTCCTCCTCCCTCTCCTCCTCCTCCTCCTCCTCCTCTCCTCCTCCCCCTCTCCTCCTGCCCTCTCCTCCTCCTCCTCCTCCTCCTCCTCCTCCTCCTCCCCTCTCCTCCTCCTCCCTCATCCTCCTCCTCCTCCTCCTCCTCTCCTCCTCCTCCTCATCCTCCTCCATCTCCTGTTTTAGTTTCCTTACACTTCTTCCCCCTCGATACCTTATCCTTTCCCGTCCTCTGCTTGTCTTACTCCTCACTCACCCTCCTCCCTCTCCTGCTGGTCCTCCTCCTCCTCCCTCTGATGATCGCAATATGTCTCATTGCTTTATTTCATTCCTCTCCTCCTCCACTGCGTTCCCCCTCTCTCTCCTTCTGCCTCCTCCTGTCTCTCCTCCTCTCCTCCTCCTCCCTCCTCCTCCTCCTCTCCTCCTCCTCCTCCTTCCTTCTCCTCCCTTACCTCCTTCTCCTCCTCTTCCTCCGACTCCTCCTCCTCCTCCTCCTCCTCCTCCTCCTCCTCCTCCATATCCTTTTCTTTATTATCCGTACACGTCCTCCCCCTCGATACCTTTCCCGTCCTCTGCTTGTCCTACTCCTCACTCACCCTCCTCCCTATCCTCCTGCTCCTCTGCCTCCTCCCTCTGATTACCGCACGATTTCTCATTGCTTTAGTTCATCTCCCTTCTCCTCCTCCACTACGTTCCCCCTTCTCTCTCCTTCTGCCTCCCTCCGTCCCTCCTTCTGCTCCTCCTTCTCCTCCTTCTCCACCCGGCAGCGTGGGCCGAGGCGGAAAAGGCGAGGCGGTCACTGACCATCCAAGAAGAAGAAATCCCCCCAGACCCGCGACGCTGTGATTCTTGACGACGTGGACCCCCGGATGTTTGGACCCTTTTCCCAGGGACCGACCCTGCATCCCGAGTCGCGATTCTCTTGCACAGAGCGTCTAGAGCTCCGACCACTTTCTTCCGCGTCGCACCGCGCCCCCTCCTGCCCCGCCCCCCTCCTGCGCCTCCCCAGCCTTCCCCAGTGGAACCTCTGCCCTATGCCGCCTCCAGCCCGACCATTTCATTCCGCGTCGCACCGCGCCCAGACCCCCTCCCCGCCCCCCTCCCGCCCTTCCTCCGCCCTCCCCTTGCCCGCCCCGCCCCCCCCTACCCCTCTCCAGTGGCCCAGTGGAACCTCCGCCCAGTGCCCCCTCCGCCCGACCCTTTTATTCCGCGTCGCACCGCGCCCGCTCCAACTCCCCGACCACCCGCCCCACTCCTCCCCAGCCCCGCCCCTGCCCGCTCCCCTCTGCCTCGACCATTTTATCCAGCGTCGCACCGCACCCCCCCTGCTACCCGTCCCCAGCGTTCCCCAGTGGCCCAGTGAAACTTCCGCCCAGTGCTCCCCCGCTCCGACTATCTTATTCCGCGTCGCACCGCGCCCGCCCTCCCTCCCTCCGCGCCCCCCTGTCACCCCTCCTCCCCTGCCCGCCCCGCCCCCCTCCTACCCCTCCCCGGCGTTCCCCAGTGGCCCGTGGAACCTCCGCCCAATGCCTACCCCCCCGACCACTTTATGTATTCCGCGTCGCACCGTGCCGCTCCCACTCCCCGCCCCCCTCCCGCCCCTCCCCAGCCCTGCCCCCGCCCGCCCCCCTTCGCCTCGACCATTTCATTCCGTGTCGCACCGCACCCCCCTCCTCTCCCCAGCGTTCCCCAGAGGCACAGTGGCACCTCCGCCCAGTGCCCCCTCCGCCCCGACCATTTTACTCCGCGTCGCACCGCGCGCCCCCCACCCCCTGCCCGCCCCCCTCCCAGCCCTCACGAGCGCGCCCCAACGGCCGAGTGGAATTTCCGCCCAGTTCCCCCTCCGCCCCGACCATTTTATTGTCTGCGTCGCACCGCGCCCCCACCAGCTCCAGCGGTCCAGTGGAACCTCTGCCCAGTGCCACCTCCGCCCCGACCAGTTCATTCCGCTTCGCACCGCACCCCCCCTCCTCTCACAGCGCCCCCCAGAGGCCCAGTGGAACCTCCGCCCAGTCCCCCCCCCCGCCTCGACCATTGTACTTCGCGTCGCACCGGACGCCCCCTCCCCGCCCCCCTCCCCGCCTTCCTCAGCGTGTTTCGGC